ATAGTTTTCTCTCTCCTGTTTCAGCCAGTGACTGGTTAAGGGTGGTTGTGTGAACCCTCCCATACTTCAAAAAGGGGTCAGGTTACCTTCTGGGTTTCAGCTGTGATGCTGACTGGGTTTAAATTCAAGCTTTTGCTTTTTCATTTCTACAGGGAATTGGTGTTGGGCGTGAAAACCTGCCCATTTACATAATGTTTGCCAAGCTGGTGCCACCCAGATGTGTTGGGTTACACCTCACTAAGCCCGGGAATGGAATGTGCTGGGTGGAGTGTGCTGTGAGATGCAGTCCAGCCTATCTGGAGTGGGTTGGACTGGCCAGGATGTTCTTGGATTGATGGTAGGCAGCTTGGCACACGCCTGCTGTTTTGAATGAGTTTCCACAATTGGTTGTCACCACCCATGCTGCTTGTCTCGGATCTCTCAGTCAACATTCACGTAACGTGTGAAATCAGGTCAAGGAAAGCTTTAGCAACTGCAATCACCCCAAATGTACTAAGCATGGCTCACTTTTTTTCTGCCTTGCCACACCGAGCGAGTCCAGCTCTTTTCGTTTACTGCTTTTGAGTCTGGCTTGACTCCTGGTGAGTGCCTGGACAAGTCTGGGCCATCTTGACCCACCTCTGATAATAACTGGAGCTCTTTCAAGGACGTGCCCAATAGCCTCTTCCATTTGATCCCACCCTTCCATTTTAATCCATCATTTTTCCTGTCTCCTTCCCAAGCATTTGTACCATGTGCCCACGGTGCACGAGTTTCTACTTGCTGAACTTATCCTTATGGCAGCAAAAAGGGGAGCCATTCAACTAGCTTACAGATCTGTTAGAAGACTGCTCTTGAGAAAGCAGTATTTCCAAAACATGCCAGGCTTCCATAAAACCCTGGGGCTTGAAATCCCTTTTTTTTCCCCCCTTGCCTGCCATCTTTCTCCAGTATTTGCTCATTCCTTGTGGGAATGCAATGGGATGCCGGGCTACTCTGAATGTGACAGATTGATGGAAGGCTGGCCTCCATACACACGTCCCTAACATTGGCTGAAAGTCCAAAGTGCTTTGTATTATTTATTTTTATTTATTTATATATTAAATTTATCCCTGCCCATCTCCGCCCAATGGGGGATTCTGGGCAGCTCACAACTTGTTAAAAACAATAAATAAATATACAATTAAAAACCTCTACACACAATTACTAAAAAAGGAAAGAGTCTAGAAGGCCAGTGGTTCAGAGCAGCAAATGCCAGGCCTCTATGGGGCTAGCCATCCCCCTGCTTGAGGTATTCCCTCCCCACCCCAGGCCAAG